GGAGCCCTGCCATGTGAAATTACTGCTTAATGAGTAAGTCTTTCTTCTCTAAACAACCAGTGTGTAAGTGTATGGTGTTCTACAGGTAGTACCTACAATATTTTTAATGATAATTTTGGTGATCTTCTTATCTTCCAACATCATAAACTTCTCTGAGAAACCCCCAAATCAGCACTTGACAAAGCTGTGTAAAGGCTATTCCCCAATACCTGTACAAAATAAATACATCAGCACTAGTCCTACCAGAAGCATAATAAGACAGTGTGGGAAAAATCAATTTTATATGTTAAAATGCCACAATTAAAAACAAACAAACAAACAAACAAAAAACCCCACATAAACTAAGCAAGGTGGTGGTGCACACCTTTAACCTCAGCACTTGGAAGGCAGAGGTGGATAGATCTCTGTGAGTTCAAGACCAGCCTGGTCTATAGAGTGAGTTCCAGGACAGACAGAGCTGTTACACAGGGAGGAGGAGGAGGAAGAAGAGGAGGAAGAGGAGGAAGAGGAGGAGGAGGAGGAAGAGGAGGAGGAGGAGGAGGAGGAGGAGGAGGAGGCGGCTGATGCAGATAGTTTGGTGACAGCTTAAGTGGTTCACTCCAGACACACAACAGTTTCAGGCTATTCACAATAGGTAATGTTATCAGTACATTGGGGCATTTAAGTATAAAATTTAAAAACCCCTCTAACTTCTAAGGGATAAGGTAGAAAATTAATCAGGGAGCTTGAGGGATGGAAAGAAATAGAGCTCAGTGGTAGAACACCTGCCTAGCACATGCAAGGCTCCAGAGTTATAAGAGAAAAAAAAATCTCATTGTTCAAATAACTAAAGATTCTCCAGCTTCTCTCATTCCAGATAAGAAATGGGCATCAGCAAATGACATCTACAGTGCACTCAACTGTTCTCATTTCAACTCGTAATGACCAGAGAACAAGAGACCAGATTACAAGCAACAAAGAGTACAGTGTAGGGGTAAGGAAAAGGATACTTTGCAGCCAATGACTGCTCACGATTTTAAACAAAAGGCATGCCTTTAAAGTGTGAGAAATAACAGTTCATGCAAACAGTTTAAGCTGTACAGAGGTACCCGAGGCCTCACATAGCTCTTACCATCTAAACTTTGACCATCCAAATCGAGATGTGAATTATAAAATACATGGCAGACTTCATCCCAATCCTATGTGGATTAAATGCAACACTGTAAACAGCCTAAACTTCTTTCTTTTCTTTTTTTGTCACTGCCAAGACAAGACCTCACTATATAGGTCAGGAGTGGTCTGCAGCTCATACTGAGAATACAGATGTAAGCTATGAACCCTAGGAGCCAGCACTTTAAATGAATTATAGTTTGTAATTAAAACTGGGGTCAACAACACAGCTCTGCATTATATTCCTTCCATGATATTACCTATGAGCCTCCCAAGAAAATGTCTGTGCTTTTTAACATATTTTGGTGGCATTTTACTCTGTGTGTACTTATGCATATTCGTGTGTGTGTGTGTGTGTGTGTGTGTGTGTGTGTGTGTGTGTCTGTCTGTCTGTCTGTCTGTCTGTCTGTGTGCGAGAGCAAGCAGGTAGAAGCCAGAGGTCAACCTCAAACGTTACTCCTCAATAGCAATCCACTTTTATCTATTTATTTTTTAGGTAGGGTCTCTCATGAGGACCTGGGCTTGCTGGCAAGACTAAGCTGGCTGCCCAGTGGACCTCAGAGATCTAATTCTCTGCACCTCCTCCATGCTGAGATAACAAACACACATCAGTACTCCCAGTTTTTTCCATGGGTGGTGGGAATGGAATTCAAATCCTCATGTTGGCGCTGCGAGCCCTTTACTGATTAAGCTGTCTCCCAGCCCTATGCAGTATATGTGTATGTATACGGATATAGCATATACATATGCTATATATGTGTGTGTATGTATGTATCTAGATATAGGTAACATTTGTTTATTATTTATTTACTGTGTATGTTTACACACATGGAGGGCATGTGCATGCCAGAGGACAACTTATAGGAGCCAGCTTTCTCTTCCTACCATGTGGGCTCTGAGTATCAAACTCAGGTTTATAGCAAGTACCTTTATCCACTAAGCCATCTCCCTGGCCCAGCACCTCATGATTTTAATATTAATAACATTATACCTGTGCTGTGCAGTTTTATGTCAGCTTGATACAAGCTAAAGTTATCTGAGAAGAACCCTCAGTTAAGAAAATGCCTCCTTTAGATCCAGATTAAATGCAAACCTGTAGGGCATTTTCTTAATTAGTGATTGATGTGGGAGGGCCCAGCTCATTGTAGGTGTTGTCATCCTTGGGCTGGTGGTTCTGGGTTCTATAAGCAGGCTGAGCAAGTCAGTGAATAGCACCACTCCATGGCCTCTCCATCAGCTCCTGCATCCAGGTTCCAGCCCTGTGTGAGTTCCTGTCCTGACTTCCTCTGCTGATGAACAGCAATATGGAAGTATAAGCCAAATAAACCCTTTCCTCCCCAACTTTCTTTTGGTGTTTCATCATAGCAACAGTAACCCTAACTAAGACAACAGCCTTATAGGTATCTTTGATGACTTCAATTTCTAAGTTTTAATAGAAAGGAACGTATCATTATGGAAGATCATTAAAAATTTACCTTCAGAGACCTTGAAGAAAAAATAAGCATTTTTTTTTATTGTTCTTGGAATGTTAAAATCAGGAGGTTGAACACAAAGATCATTTAGTTTATGACTGTGGCTGCCAAAGGGACTGGCACAGGAGGTGTGGCCTTGCTGGAGGAAGTGTGTCACTGTGGCGGCAGACTTTGAGGTCTCATAGAGCTCAAGCCACACCTCGTGAGGCAGCCCCCCTTCCTACTCCCTGTGTAAGATGTAGAACCCGCAGCTACTTCTAGAGCACCTTGTCTGCCTACAAGCAGGCATGATGATAATAGACTGAACCTCTGAACTATAAACCACCCAATTAAATGTTTCCTTTGTAAGAGCTGCTGTGGTCATGGTGTCTCTTCATAGCAATAGAAACCCTAATTAAGACAATGATGCTTGTGAAAGAGTAAATCTGTGCTGTGTATCTGTTATCCCAGCTTTCCAAAGGTAGTGGCAAGAGAATCAGAAATTCAAAGTCACCCTCAGCTAAATAAACTCAAGACTAGACTTGGCTTATGGACCTTGCTTGTCTAAGAAAAACAAGACTTAAAAATAATCAATTAAAAATAAAACTAGGTCAAGTTGTGAGTTCATTTAACACTTTTGGAATAACAATGTTCTCACATAGCAAAATGAAAGTGGCTAACTAAATCTCTATCCTCTTTAGCTCAAAGGTTCTTGTCGACAGTGGACACTGTACGGTCAAAGACAAATCCCTGGCCAATGTTCCAAAGCTGCTCAGCTTTCCAGTGCTCCTTAGTACGCTCCCTCACTTCCATGTCTGGGCTAAAGAGGCTTAGTGACAGTCTTCCATAGCGACTTCTGGCTGAACCTATTGTCCCAGGAACTTCTAGAAGTCCATTTTCTACTCACAAAGAATCTACATATTCTGTTTACTACAAGGCAGTAAGTGAAATCAGAAAGCTCTGCGTTTCCCTATTCTCAGTCCAGGTTCTGGTTTGACTGCCCTCACCAAATGAATGCTTACTCAGTTGTTAAGTTGAAAAGGGAACACAGCAAAATCAATGTGTCATTGCCAAAAATAAATAATAAGATAATCTGTAGCAACTATTTGTCCTAACTGACTGGTTACGGTTTACCAAGAATAAATAGAAACCCTAACTAGTAATTTAATTTTATTTTTTACCTGGGTTAAATAAGCCAAACATTTCTACCTTCGCCACAGGAATACATGTGACTTTAGAGAGTTAATTTTGCTCTCTGTGACATAGTTTACTTATCTGTAAAACAGGACTAATACTAGTCAAATGCTCAAAGGCAGTGTGACCCCACCAGAAAGGTTCTGTTCATGTATAAGCTACCAATCTCAAGTGGGCAGACCTCACAGAAGTGCAAACATATTGTGGAGGCAAATCTTATAGAAGGAAGGGTTCTGATGGAAAAATAGTAAAAAATGCCTTATCAATGCTGAAAGATAGTGTATTTACTGCAAAAAAACAAAACGAAAAAACAAACAAACAAACAAAAAACTTCTTTTCTATATGCTAAGAAGACCAACCAGCCCAATTGTTCCCATCATTCATGGAGAAAATACTAAGGGAATTACTGCTTTCATAAAGTAGCATTAAGAGTTGAATTAAGATTGCCAGTTGCTTTTTCAATTAGTAACACCATAAATTGAGAAATTTTAGGGAAAAGTCACTTTTCCAAACAGGAAGACTACTTTTCTTTTTTAGCATTCCTGCTTGAGAGCATGTAAGCTGTAGAATTAGGTTATAGTTCTGATATTTTTATGTTTGTGCTGTTACAAACAAAAGCCCCCATCCAATATGTGTTTCTATAACAAAACATGTCTGTTCAGTGCTCTGTCCACAGCTTTTTGGGAATGTTGCTCTCTCCACAAACTGTTCCAGCCAGCTTCAAACACAGTAGAACTAACAGACAGAGCACACTTCTGAGTCTCTGTCCTTGACATTTTTGATCATCTCTCCCCATTCTCCTGCCAGCTGTTATCATGAGGACCCTCCTCAATCCAGGCCTGACCTGAATCCCTTTCTAGTGTGGTGGGAAAAAAAAATCAATGCATTGTAAGTATAAAACACCCAATTACAGTAATAGAACAATTAATAGCCCATGAAGCCAAGGCCAATGTTATATTAAAAAAAAAAAAAGACAAAAGAAAACAATCTTATTTCAAGTTTCTTGAAACTATGAGTAATACAACAATTTGTGTGTCCTATAGCAATAAATAACACCAAACAAAGTAATACTGGAAACATAATGCAACACTTAGCTGAGGGGGTCACACTAACAGTGCCCTCCTTTCTGGGATCGAAGAAGGTTCCATTTCTGCTTCTCCAGCAGGTACCAACAGACACATAAAGAAAGGCATCTGAAGCACCCACCTTGTTGAGGACATCACGCTGGCAGCCAAGATAGAGATTGGGAAGAATTCGAGTTGGCCCAATGTTGGCAACAGGTAAGCAAGGCTGAGATATGCAGGTAGGGACTAGAGTGGATTTTCCTTCACAGAGGCCAGGGAAACAACGAGAGAACTCAGCAAACCCACCTAAGAATAAACATTGTATGATTATGCTATGTACAGTGTAAAATAAACCAGCATTCTGTGAACCACTTGACTAAAACCATTCAAAACAGAAAATTCATAAGGTACAGATCTAGGCAGGTAACCCTGCCTATGTGCACATCCCTGCCCACAGATGCTGTTGCTGACACTGATGCAGACTCCAGTACCGACTCTAGATGAATAAGGCTGCAGTGTGGAAGGGCAAGTTCTGAGGGCACTGGAAATAGTCACTGCCTTTCTCAAACAGTTTCTTAATCCCCACACACTCTATGACATGTGATCCCTTTCTCTCCCCATCAAAACATTACTTATGAGACATTAAGGAGGATTCTAATTCAATAGCAACAAAGTCAAAAAATAAGTATTCACAATAGCAAACAAGTGGGTATTAAGTGATAAATTGGATGTTACTCTTTGTGATAGAATGTTATTTTAAGGTGTGTGACTTTTGTTTATGCTACATTTATTTAACTCTGTGAAGCTGCAATTCTTTTGGTCTGTATAAAACACCTGGTGGTTCCTAAAGAACTGAACGGCCAATATGGAGGCAGGAGCAAGGATAGGAGGGGCTGGCTGGCAGGCAGTATAAATAGTAGGAGAACTGAGGAAGGAGAGCAAGAGGACAAGAGGAGGAGGACTTCAGGGACCAGCCACCGAGACAGCCACCGAGACAGCCACCCAGCCACAGAGTAGGAAGGAAGGTAAGATACACACAAGTAAGAAAGATGAATTAGCCTGTCTACCTTTTTCCCTCTGGGCTTTTAAGTTAAGAAAAGCTGGCTAGAAACAAGGCAAGCTAAGGCCAGGCATTCATAGTTAAGAATAAGCCTCCAGGAGTAAGTTATTTGGGAGCTGGGTGATGGACCTCTCAAAAAGCCTAGAGTAAAACTTCACACTACAAAAACTCTTTTAGAATAAAAATGCTGTAAGTTCTTCCAAGATTTAACTGTAAGTCTTCCAACCATACAGATTACTATGTAGTAGTGGTGGTGGGATAAGACAAGGGCAGGAGCTGGGCAGGGGTGGCGCATGCCTTTAATCTAGGACTTGGGAGAAGCAGGCAGATCTCTGCGGTCTACAGAGTGAATCCCAGGACAGCCAAGGCTACACAGAGAAACCCATCTCAAAAAATAACAACAACAACAACAATAATAATAATAATAATAAAAGACAAGGTCTTGAGTAACCTAGACTTGTTGCAAATTCACTATGTGGCTGAGAATGACCTTGAGCTCCACCAACTTTGCCCTCCCAAGTGCTGGATTCAGGTTGTGCCACCCTGCCTGGCCACTTTTCTTAAGATGTTAAATACATGTCTTACTCTGAAAACTTACTCTGTAACAAGTCATTACAGTTCTGTAGGCAGTCAGTCAAGGCTCATTACCACTGACTTCTGGAACTCCTGTTCATTTTTCTAAGCACTCCAAAGAGATGTTGACAGAGCCTAAATCATTTACAGTATATGAATTCTTATGGCATGAAACCTAGGTTCAGATTTAGAACCTGGGGTTGTTTCCCCCACCTAAGCTTTTTTTAAAAAACAAACAAACAAAAACACTGTGTGTGTGTGTGTGTGTGTGCGTGTGTGTGTGTGTAGTGAGGAAGGGAGAGAGGGAGGGAGGGAGGCTGGCTATGGAGGCCAGAGGACAACGTGCTGGAGGAGTCAGTTCTCTTTTTCTACCATGTGAGCTCCGGGGATGGGTCTCGGGTGATCAGGCTTGACAGCAAAGGCCTTTCCCTTCTAAGCCACCTCATTAGTGCCAGTCCTGTGTGTGCTCCCAGGCTTATATTTCTAGTGAACTGCCCTAGGGCCTTCATTAAGTATCATAGTCTTGCCACATCTCAATAGAGAAAAATCCATGTAGCACTCTGAACTTCTCTGAAAACACAGAAACCAAACTCTTTGATAAAATTCTCTACTATTCAAACCCTTACCTCTTAGTAGCTCAACTCAGGAATTAGAATTTCGAAAAATACTTGTTCAACTCAAGTATAATCCAACTGGACCCCTGTTTCTACTGTCTGTGTTCTGTCCTGGGTACAGGAGCAGTGAGCTACAGCAGCAGGGATTCGCAACAACAGTTAAGCCACAGCAAAATACAACATCCCTACCTCCTGTCTAAGTATCTATGGTTGTAGAACTATTCTCATACATGAGGGATTGAAAGGTCTTAAGTTAAACTGGTGGACAGAGCAGGTGGATCAGATCTGCTGTAGAAATCCAAATTACTTTGAACAATGGACAAGACCCTCAATTTACACCTGTATGGGTTTTATTTTTCATCATTTCCCAACACAACTTCCAGCCATGTAAAAACTGTACCTCAAAACAATGGCTCTAGAAAATTTCATGGCAGGGCATAAAAATAAATGACAGAAACCACTGTTCAACCTCAAAACAAAAATGCCAAACCAACAATACATGGTAAAATGCTTTATAAAACCGGAGGAGCAAGGCAAGGTGGCAAACGCCTTTAATCCCAGCCAGAAGCAGGCAGATCTCTGAGTTCCAGGCCAACCAAGGAAGCTACATAGTAAGACTTTGTTGATAAACTAAACATACTTTTGTCTGGGTATTTTCAACTAATACTTAACACTAACACTAATAGCCAGACTTTGACATATTTAATAGTTTTCAATGAGATTGGAACATTTAGTGCTCAGTATGCCTTGAAATGTCCCAAACCAGGCACTTCCAGAAAATACTTCATCAGCCAAAGAGTACATTTTCCTGCTCTGCATCTGACAATATCATCCACTCTGCTGACACCCTCCTTCACTGACAGCATTGTCCATTCACTGACCTTTCATTCACTGGTGAAGTCTAGAGACTCCACTTACTTCACTGACAACAGATGAGACCCTGCAGATCTACCCTGAACCTTCATCAGCTGTCTGTAGCCTCCTCAGCAACTAAGTTTCAAAATATCTTAACTGCCCCCTTTCCTTTCAAAGATCCTCTTGCAAACCAGATCTACATCAGAAGAAAAGCATACGCAGGCCATTTATGTATACTTTGTTCCAAAGGGCTGCCAGATACAAACTAAAAGATTATCTGACTTGTTGTAAGGCTCTCTCTGTCCTGAGCAATCCATGTTAGTTATTATAAAACCCATAGCAGCACCTTGTTGAACTTCTCCCTGTGAAAAGCCATACTGAAAACTCTCAGTATTTCAAAAGTTATCATGGAATTGTCTCATTGGTATTACCAACTATCTCTGCCCGCTACATTTTTCGCTGTTTGTCATCTGGGAATGTAGAAAATGTGACATGGCAGTAACTCACATGTATTTCCCTAATACACAGATGAAGATCAGAATTGCTGTCCACTAGTCCCTATGGCTCTTAAGTTTTAACAGGCAGTCAGACACATTCAGAGGCTTCTGGTCTGGAGAGAATAGCAGACACACTACAAGGGTGCTGTAGTCCAACCAAAAGAATGCATGTGTAGAAATAAAAATACATTATTTTTGTATAGCTTCACGGACATATATCACTTATAAGTCACTGTATTCTCATTCAGTAAAGAAAAAGTTCTTCCCTGAGGGCACCTCCTTTATACCACCAATCAAAAGTACTATTTCTATAGAAAAAAACAATCACTGTGATGCACCATTACATTATGGTGGGAGAAAATATGCCAAGTAGTAGAAAATAAAATGCAAAATAATTCTACTAAACAATTCCAAATACTTCTCTTTCTTGGCTCATTTGCAATCAACTGTAAATGTTATATTCTAAAAGCAAAAATTTACATAATTAAAAAGTGACTCTTCACTACAACTCAATTTCACTGTTTTTAATTATTTTTTATTTTATTTGTGAGACAGGATCACACTGGGTAATGATAACAGTTAAAATAAAACTCACTATATGGACCATACTGGACTAATATTTGCAGCAATCCTTCTGCCTCTGTGCCCCAAGTCCTGGGATTATAGCTTCAAAATTTTTCCAAGTCTTGAATTCTAACCAAACTAAAGATGGATGTCAACTACTTTAAGGATAATTCTCTATAGGTAGAAAGAGAGCTTTCACCCCATACTTTCATTCAGACAGAAGTCACTGGATCTTCAAGTGACAGAACTGCTTAACATGGGAGGCAAAACTAAAAAGAACCACCCACTCCACATTCTGAATGAAATCTACAGTTACACACAGAAATGGGATTTATAAAAAAAAAAACTTACTTTCTAGAAAACATTTTTCCAAATATAATATGCAAATTTAACTTTAATTTTATATAATTCATATTTTTATCATTTTAAGATAGGGAGTTGAGATACCTACAGTTATTTTCCTGTAGTCTCTCTTCCATTCTCCCACCACTAACTAACTACTTTAGTTTCAAACCTCATACACCTCATACTTGAATAAACTTAGTAGAAACTCTCTCAAACCGATCCGTCCTTCTTTGTAATTTATTTCTACTCTGCTGGCAGATAAAAAAAAATTACAAAATAATGTTTTGATGTTATTCCCTAACGAGTCATAAAATCTAAAGTACTTGGCAAACAATCTAATCCCAATCCAATATTTAGACTATTGCCCCCATCACCATCCTTCATGTACCTAACACAGAAAGCTCAGCTTTCTTATTTGGATGGGCCTCTGTCAAGTCAATCCTTAGAATGCACTTCATACATTCTTCAAAGCCACAGAGACGTAACATCTCTTCTTACATCAGTATATCCCAAAATTTTTACTCTGGCCAACAGAATACATTTTCTATCATGTACATACACTCACTACTAAAATGGTAATGCAATCTTCCTTTGTTGTGTTAAATGCTGACAGCTCATATTTTACTTCGTTGCAATAAAAATATACATCCTCCCCTAACCACTGGATCTGAACACGGTCTCAACAGTTCATTCTTTTAATTAAAAAACTTTTGATTGATTGAGGACAGGATATCAGAAGACAACTTTGTGGAGTTGATTCTCTTCCACCTTTCCATTGTTTCCAGATATCAAACTCAG